TGCTGTTTCATTAGATTTAGAACAAATTTAGTAATGGCCATTATTTTTTCCTCCTCGGACACTGCACCACTGACCTCTGTCATAATCTGCTGTACTACAGTCACTACTCTCAACATATTGTCGAGAAATTGACTGTTTACATGAGGAGCCTGAACTGACTGATCTGTATGTTGTTCCTGTACAGGGACCAAGACGCTCGGTTTCGTGGCTGCTGGTGGAACTGCCACTGGTGTTTGGCAAGTCTGAAGCCGCTGCTCCTGTGATGTGTTGCTTTGGAGTGCCGCCGCGAAGGAGACTCCAGGGGTAAGATGAGAACACCCTTCCCGTTGTGGTTTTGGGTGCTCTCTGCAATTTCTTCTTCTGCAGTTCCTCCTTCACATGTTTGCAGCCGCGGTAGTTGGCGGGATGCGGTTTCTCTCCATCCTTCAATTCACAGTTACAGCACGCTGGAGTGGAGGCAGCGTTCTGTTTCTCAGGGCACTCTTTGTGCAGGTGGCCACCCCCGCACCACATGCAACGGGGAGGTTGCTTACAATTAGCCCAGACGTGGCCAAATTGTTGGCAGTTTTGACACTGCGTAAGGCCACTCTGTGCTCTATATGCCTCAACCCGGATGAAAATGTGGCAAAAGCTTTGTATTTTGAAAATTTCTTGTGATTTTGCCATCTGGGGTAGGGTGATAAGGAAGAGTGGAAGGTTTCTTGATATCCTTTCTTCTGAAGGTGACCCAAGGGGGGTTGTCATCTGTTTGATGCTAACCACGTCAAATCCCAGGGCCACCAGTCCATCAGATATATCCTCTGCAGGGGTATTGTGAGGGAGGTGACAGATTACAGCCTTTATGGGTTTTAGGGACTTCGGAAAGAAGGTAAAGTAGGATAGTTTATTGTTTGATAGATGGGACTTCACGGCTTCGAAATCCGCCATGCTTTTGGTGAGGACTCTGGTCCCGTTTCTGGTACTGCAGAACTCAAAGTCACCTTTGACCACATTTTTCAGTAGCTTTTACAACTGAATTAGGTTGACTGTGGACGTTAGAATTATTTGGGGGGGGGCCTGTCTGCTTTGCCTGAGGTTTCCTCCTCCAGCATAGTGGTTCCGGCACCAGCAGTGTCGGTGTCCATTGATGTCACCCTGAGAGATGCAAAGTAGTTTCGGGTGGGAACCTCATTCGCCGGGGTGTTTGCTACGGCAGCCGCTGCCTTCTTTGAAGTCAGGGCAGACTCGGTTGTGATTTGCCGTTTCCGCCTTCAGACGTCTTTGAAGTCTTCTTCTTGGGAGGGTTTTGTAGGAAGAGTTTTCGTTGTCTCAGAGGTTTTGGCCTTCAAATCGTTCAGTGTAACTGTATAGGTCCCATACAGAGCATGAACAATATCTTGCCTGTGAAAACCTGCAATAGCTGTCTGTTTTCGTCTGCGGCATTGACTATTGCCACCCACTATGCACTTACCCCAATTGTAGTGGGTCTGAAGCTGGCCACATCCTCAATATCACAAATGATTTTAAACAGCTTCCTGTAGTGCTGATCTGCTTCCAGATACTGTTTAACCATCTCCTTGTATTCTGCCTGTAGTGAGGCTCGTCTTTCTGCCCAGAATGCATGGTAACCAGGAACCGAGGCACCCGCCATGTCTGGCATGGCACGGCACGAACCCAAGCCTCACACAAAAACTAAGAATTTTACTACCAAGGACTGTGGAATTTCAGAAGCTGATCAGAAAGAGCATGCAACAACTACCAGCAATAACTCCTTCATTGATCCTCTATGATGAGAAGACTTTTTCAACTTCTTGCATCGGAAACCAAGCACACACCTAACATCAACACGCTGCTCAAACTTTAAAACCAACTTTACACTGACTGAACACCACCAGTCTTGTTCCAACCAATAACCTTCACCAACACACTACTGCACACCAACAAATTGTCGAACAGACAATCTGCTTTGTACGAGCCATACTACCACAACAAGACTTTCTCAATGAATCTCAAAAATCTGACTCCTCTGAATAATCCAACACATAGCTCGACTCCCAATCGACTTACTCCCCAGAACTGACTCCTGAATGACTCCACAATGATCCACTGGCTTGCGAGCTCTGTGCTCCGCCTTTTATATCATGCATGATGGAGGAGCGAAATTTGCAGAGCGCTGATTGGTTAGCACGTGTAATGATCTGGATGTGCGCTGGACAGCAAGTGCTGTATAAATGCGAGCGCTGGAAGCAACGTGATTGGTTAGTGCGCGTGATGGTGAAAAGTGAGCTGGATAGTGAGCGCTGTAGAAATAACGTGATAGTATGTGGGATGTACCCACAGTATATTACAGGGTGGGGCGCAAAAACTTCCTTTCTTTGAAGACGAATAAAAGAAAAATTACTGCCGATAGACAAAATTTATGTTTAGCTAATGAAAGAACATACTTTAAAGTTTTAAATCATGGAGTTTTAAACAAAATATCTTGAAGGTGGTGGCCACCATTGTCTATGCACTGATACAACCGTTTTCTGAAGTCGCCCTCTGCACGTTCCAACATGTGCACCGTAATTTGGGCTACTTCCTGCCAAATAACATTCTTCAGCTGAAGCAGGTTTGTGGGGCGATGTTTAAAACCTCTGCCCTGAGGTATCCCCATAAAAAAAAAATCACAGGGCATTAGATCAGGTGAGTGTGCTGCCCATGTGATGTCACTTTGAAGCAAGATGAGCCGTCCATGGAACTTTGCCCTCAAAACTGTCATTGAAGCTCGGGCTGTGTGGGCCATGGCACCATCCTGTTGGAACCAGACATTTCCTAGATGCATTTCTTCAAGAGCTGGTTTGAAAAGATCTCAAAACTGACTGTTGAACTGCCTCCACATTTTCTGGCATCGTAACGGTCCGCTGTCCTGATGATTTTTTCACCACACCCCCGGTTGTTCTAAAGTTCTCTACCCACAAAACAATCGATTACCGGTCGGGAACCAGAACTCTGAGCTTAATTCCAAAGTGAGTACGGAACTCACGCTGCACCGTCACATAGGAATGGTTGTTCGAAAAGTAGGCTTTGACAACAAACGCACGCTGCTCATTCGTCCATCTCATCTCTCCTAGTGAGGGGTATTAGACAGAAACTTCCGCGACTGCTGCATTTGCCGAGCCTATCCCCACTTTTCTGTGACCTCCCCTCCCTTCACAATGCGTCTTGACAAAAAGGAAGTCTCTGCGCCCCACCCTGTATTACATCATTATATTATTATTATTATTTAATTATCATCATTCTTATTTATTCCATTGTAAAGTATCTGACTTGCCCTATATCATGCATAATGATCCATGGAGATGAAGTAAATAAATAAATAAACAATTTCTTTAAACTCTATCTTAATAGAATCTTTCGATCCACACTTAGGTCTCCCAAATGGTCGGTCTCTCTCAAGTTTTCCCTCCAAAACTTTGTATGCATTTCTCATTCTCCCATGAGTACTACATGACTTACCCACATCACTCTCCTTCATCACATTCCTACATAATATACCAAACTGTTATAATGTATACACCAAAGGGCGTGAGAAGTGTCAGAAGTTATTGGGAGTGTGTAATACAGTGACCCTGGTATAGCTCCCGTATTGTACTGTGAATACATGTAGACTAGTGAAGATAGAGTGAACAGATTATTGTGTAGGGGTTATAATTGTGTAAACACGCAACTGTGTTATAATTGATTGTAGTTACGATTTGTAGGTTGTTAACTAAACCAATTACAATCTGAATGGCATCTTTAGAGACAAAACACGTTACACTATTATAAAACTCTTGTATGTGCACACAAGCACAAAACATAATCCTCTCACAGATGGAAATGCTCCTTCTGCTTCCTGCAGTACAATTCATGGCACTTTTGTTGCAAGAGAATGCAGAATCTTTCGTAATCTTGAAAACTGTTCATCACATGATAAATATTCTGTGGGGTTCATTATAATTAGCTTACAACAATCCTAGTAATTTAAATTCTTGCTTCTAATAAGTGTACCAGTAACTAAATGCGAACAGTATCGTGACTCCATAAGGATTTTTGCCGCTACAGAATTTCTCTGTAATGCAATTCAGTTTACACAAAATTTAATTTCATCTGCATCAGAACTGCTTAAACGGAAAGCAACAGTCATTCAACAAAATACAACTGTCTAGAGACAGTTCAGAAAAAGACCTTCAATGGCCAGTCAGCAGCACAGTGGACTTGTTTCATGTGCACAGACAGCCAGAGAGATGGGATGAGAAAGACAACCGCTTCTTGAAACAAAAAGCTGACACATATGAAGCCTTTAAAGAATTTATGAAAATGGTTGAGACAGAAACTGGATTGACAATAAGAGCTGTTCGTTCCGATAATGGTGGTGAATTTTGCTGCAAATTATTCAATAACAGGTTATCGGCCCAGGGATCGTATCATTGATAAGTGTAAAAAGTACAGAAGTGAAAAGTGTTATTTAAAAGTGATCCTTTGGACTGACGCCGCTATCAAGACAAAGAAACAAGTTTCATCATGGCCACTTGGAAGCCCTTCGCGAATATTGATAGGCTCAAAGGACGCGAAAATTATAGAGAATGGTGCTTCGATGTTCAAAATATTCTAGTGATTGAAACTGTGTGGTCAGCAGTCGAAGGATACCCTGCAGAAGACACAACGCCTATATCCATCAAGAAACAAAAGGACGAGAAAGCAAGAGCCATCATTTGTCTGACATTGGAGCCCCAAGTTAAGTCTTATGTTGTCCAGACAACAACAGCAAAGGAAGCCTGGGACGAGTTGGAAAGAACATTCAAAGATCAGGAAGTCAATAGTTGGATAAGTATTTTAACTGATTTGTGCTCTTTGAAACTTGAGGACTATAAAAGCATGCAGGAATATGTTAATGCCTTCATGTCAATAAATCTCAGACTAGTCTCAATGGACAAAAAAATAGATGATGAGCTATTAGCTGCATTAATGTTAAAGGGTTTAACTAAAGAGTATTATCCCATGCGTATGGCGCTTGAAAACTCCAACGTAACTCTGACTAGTGAGCTCATTAAATCTAAGCTATTGCAACATACTGAATTTGGTAAAAATGCAAATTCAGATTCAGCCTTTCTGTCCAAAGATAAGATTAAACGTAAACCAGCAAAATGTCAAATTTGTGGTAAGCTAGGCCACATAAACAAAAACTGTTGGTTCAAAGATAAGGATAAGGTGAACAATAAGAATCATAACAATCAGCATAGGAAAAAATTTAAGAGCAATCAGTCTTCTAAATCAGTTAACAGTACTGATGAAAATAAAGAAGGATCCGATCATAGGTGTAATGAAAATAACAATTTCTGCATACCTGTGATGTCTGCCCAACAGCGGACATACAGAAACATATAGCTCACCTCACGTTTAGCCCTTACCTCCTGAACTGTTATTTGCACAGGATCCACTTCCTCTTGTGCATCTGAGACTTCCTCAGCTTTTATATTCATAGCCTGGTTTGCATCATGGCTTGCTGGGTATATCTCACCACATGGACCCACTAAAACCTTCTCTGAATTTGTACAGTTCTGTAAAGGCATCACATCTTCTATAAGTCATGGCTGCACAACACCCTACATGAAACAATGTATGCTCTTTTTGATGCAGCTGCTTTTCATTACATCTACCCCATAGAAGCTGTTCTCTATGAATTTCTTCTCTAGGCTTCATAATCTTAGAAAGTATGGAGTATTATGTTTTATTATGCATTAGGATGGGCACACGGTAGAGTAGTTAGTTGAGGCACTACGCTAGAAGCTGGAAGGCCGTGGATCAAATCCATGTCATTGGATTTTTTTAATTTACCTAATCCTTCAAGCTGCACTATGGCCCTGGGGTTGACTCAGCCTCTAACAGAAATCAGAACCAGGAATATTCTTGGTGGTAAAGGGCAACCAGCACATAAGGCTGACAACCTTATACCCATCTACGAGCCGATGGTCTAGAAACTGTGAGAACTTCAACATCTCACAACCCTATGGGTCTTCACGGCCTGTTACAGGGATACCTTTACTTCTTTTACTTTAATTATGATGACAAAGAGTGATATATTATATGTGGCGTATTGTACATGTATGTGCATATTTTATATTTTGTACATAAATTTACTGTGAAATGAATGTACAGTCCAATTTATACTGTATGGTCAATTATTTTATTGTAGTGTTACCTTGCATAGTAAGCGATACATTATATGTGGCCTATCTTATGTGCTGCATATGTATGTTTTATACTTTGTGATATCCAGTTGGTTTTATATTGTATTATTAAATATCTTATTGTTATTTTGTTATCTAGTATAAACAATGACTAAATTCTGTATCTATTTACATAGATCTCTGGCAGAAACATTAAATATGAAAAAATATGAAAGTTCTTAATGCAGGGACCTTCCTCAGAAACTAATGGTCCCTGTGGCAGCACAGAAAATATCTGCTCTTTATGTTACCTCAGCGCTCATTACTGTGTTCACACATGCCCATCATGACTTTGCATTCTGATACAAATTCGGTACAAACACCTCAAAATTATATCTTTAAAATTCTTCTGCACAAATGTCTCCCTAGTGTTCTCATTCTTCCAGGCCTTCTATCCAAACCTTTGTATGTATTTCTCACTCTCGCATGTGCGCTATATGACCCACCCACATCACTCACTTCAATTGCTCCCTCTCCTACATAATATACCAGACTGTTATAATATGGAGAACCATTGAACTCCCCAAATGGATTATGAAAACTAAACCAAGATAGGTATAAATGTTTAAGCATTTTTTGGCAATGAGAATTGAAGGACAATAAAATTCTTAGGCGCACACAAGCAAAAAGCACTTACCATGCTTTCTCTCAGAGCAGGAAATATTTCTTCAGCTTTCCGTAGCAGAATTCTTGGCATTTCTGTTGCAAGAGAATGCAGAATCTTACATAACCTCGAAACTTTTTCTTATCCACGTTTTGTGGGTTGCAAATAAATTGTTTTACTAGAACCCTAGTGATATAGAATAATATACAGTGCCTGTATCTTGTTGCGAATATTTGCCCAAGTATGTAAGGAAACATACTAATGATTGTGTACAAACACATACTGATGTGGCTTTCTTTGTTCTCACAGCTGAGGCTCTGAAGCTTACTGTGTTATTAACAGTTGTGTAATCTTAACAGACTTGCTCAAGTTTTGAAGGCAGCTGGTTCACCCATTTTGAGTGAACCTCTTGCTTTCAAAACGTCGGTAGCAGGCTACCTGACTGCATGGAGTTACTTCCCAGAAAAGGCAAACCTACTCTACAGATTTACATCGTGGTGCCGCAAAATATTCACTATGCATTTGCATACCCTGCAAAATTCAACCAGTTCACCATAGTCCATCAGCTGTCACGACTTCCTTTATAAGACGGATTGATTTGTGTAACAGGCGAGAGAACTCATAAACACGGTAAAAAAAAATGTGCATTTTAATTGGTAAATGTCCCTCAGAAAGGGAGGTGGGAAGTTTCGAAGAATCCCAAGTGGAACTTTCAACGGCGGTATAAAATCACAAACACCAGCGGTGTTCCCTTCTAGCTATTTATCAATATATGAGGAAACAGAATACTAATGATTCCCTACAGAATACCCACAACTTCACACCTATATCGAAAAAGTAATGTCCGGTAATAACGCTTCAAGATAATTGGTGCCTCTGTGCTAATATTCGTAAGCGTGATCACACTTAATTGCACTTAGTACTCTTAACACTCTTCTGAAGCTTCTGAAGTTCTGGCGTAAACCTCCACCAACGCCAAATATCTTGCAAAATGTACAGCATGTAGAGCATGTTCACTGACAACCGCGATGACTGTGATCAATGTGATCTGTGATTGGATCACACAAATGCTATTCGATCGTATTCGATGTACTGCAATAGTTGTATTGTGATTGGTTCCGACAGAACATCCTCCTTTGTTTCCCCTTTGACCAATGACAGTTACTAACAAACACCATCGGCCTATGTATCGTTCTAATTACTGCGTTTTGATTAATTCCATATTCTACCACTGGAGGGCAAGAAACACAAGAAAATAATGTTGATTATNGACCGTGTCTCACGGTGTTGTCGCTTGCAGATTTACTTATACTTCTTCAACCCTGAAGATGGGGGCGATACGTTCCTCCGAAACGTCGGTTAACACCACATATACACGGTGCCAAATCCCAGAAGACTGCTTTCTTCATTACATTCATTATTATGATCGCCATTTTGTGTCCAGCACAAAAATTGGCATTAACGTGTATTTTCTTTTTCGAGCCTGTAAGCAGAAGGAAAGAAAAATAAAATAAAAACAAAAGCCCGAGGCACACATGTTGAGAATCAGCCAGGATTGTCAGGATTGCCTGGATCGCTCTGGTTAATCACTCACTCATGGAGCTGAGCCCCTCTTGAGAAGCTGCAATTGTGTAGCTACTCAGGAACATCCCAGCATTTTATGGAACCCAACGGTTCATTACCGTGTTCACAAGAGCTCCCCAGGGGGTCCCTAACCTGAGCCAATAAATCCAATACTCCATTCCATCCTATGTATCTCAGATCCATTTTAATATTGTCCACCCACCTAACCCATGGTCTTCCCACTGTTCTCCTTCCTTTCGGCTTTCAGATCAATATCCTATTTGCAGTTCTCATCTCCCTCATTCGTGCTATATGCCCTGCCATCTCTTCCTCCTTGACATGATCATTCTAATTATACTTGGAAGAGCATACAAGTTATGTAGCTCGTTATGTAGTTTCTCCAAACTCCTGTCACTTCAACTCTCTTCTGTCCAAATAATCTCCACACCCTGTTCTCAGACATCCTCAATCTAAGATCCCCTATTAAACTCAGAAACAAAGCTTCACACCCATACAGAACCACAGGTAAAATTATAGTTATGCATATTCTGATTTTTATATTTTCAGACATCAGAGTGCATCATTCTCCTCTTTAATTTACTCATGAATCAGGTTTCGATTTGTTATAGTTGTTCCCAAATATCTGAATTGTGCCAGGTTTTCAAAACATCTGTTACTTCTCTTTGTGTCCTGATATTGCCATGCATTTCAGGGACGAGATACCAACATATATTTAGTTTTCTCTGTGTTTACTTCTAGACCAATCTCCTTACTAGCATCAATTAAATTCTGTGTGTTTCTCTTTATGGTATCTATATTATCACCCAATTGATTTACATCAGCATAGAACAACATCTGACATGGCCCCATTTAATTTCAGTCTCACCTGGTTTTCTTGGACCTTTCTAATGGCATATTCTAAACCAAAGTCAAAGAGCAGGGTTGATAAAGCATATCCTTGATTCAAACCATTCTGGATACAATTTTCAGACAAATGTTTCTCTATATGGACTTCACTATAGGTTCAAACACATATTAATCGGCCTATCTAGTTTCTTGGGTACCCCAAACTATATCAGAATATTGTACAATATTTTCTCCTAAATAGTCTTTGAATAGTTGATGTACTCTCTAATAGTATTCCCATTTTTTCTCTGGAATTTGATGAATGAAAAAGATCTGATTTGTAGTTGATCTGTTATGTCAAAACCCACAATGATGATACCCAAAAATTTCATCTATGTACGGACTTAACCTTGAAAGATGAATATTGGAATTCTTATGCCAAATAGAAGTAATCAGCTTGCAAATTTTAGAGTGTAATATTTCGATTCCTGCTTGAATTAGTTCTGCCAGAATTTGATCACAACCTGGTGATTTATACCTTCTGAATTTGGAACAGCACTTTCAGCTTCAAAGGGGTTAAGATGAGATACTAATCGCTCAGCTGTATGTCTATCTGCCTAATATCGCTGAACCTATGTACATTCAATAACTGAGAGTGGTAGTTCTTCCACATATTCAAAATGTTGTGGGAATGTGCAAGCAGATAACAGTTCCCATCCTTCACTAAGTTACTTCGAGGTTGGTAACCCTTCTTAGAGTCATTTATCCCTCTATACAAGAATCTAACGTTCTTATTCTTACTGTTCATTGCAAACTCATGAATTTTGTCCTTCAGATATTCCCTCTTTTTATTCCAATATGTCCAATTCGACGAGATTGTGGAAGGAATCTACGGGCGGTCTGGTGCTACATCAAAAACTGAGCTCATGTAAAATCTGTTATTGATTGTATTGTTTAGAAAGCTGTATTTTGATTCTCCCAAACTGAAAACTCTGTGGACTCATCATAATTAACCCAGTAATTTCCACACCCAGGCAGATATTCAATACTTGTGATTCTCTGAACATCTGTGGCAATGAAAATTTTTGATACCGTCTTGTGCTTGGCATTGTCCAGTATGTGACGTGTATTTGCTGTACAGAGCATTTCAAGAGTTTGTGCCTCTCCCGTCTTCACGTAATTGGTTGTCACACCGATACACTTTAATTGCCGGTTACAAAGATGCTGGGAGTGAAATTAATTAGGATGCATTTCTTCTGGATCTTCGGATAGCTGGATAAGGGTTGATAATGTATAATGTTAATTGATCCCAGGAGTACTAAGAGCTCATCATCGTTCTGCGATGTGGCAAGTGCATCATAAGGTGGTGGTGCAGTGATGGACTTGAAGTGGGAGAGGGCATCAGCCACAATGTTGTCCTGTCTAGATATATGCTGTATGTCCATATTAAATAGGGTGACAAAATTTAGGTGGTTGTAAGACAGCAACTGTAGTTCTTAAAATATTAGATTTTATATCCATTGTGATTGAGGTTACCGCTTTCTAGGGGGCCCAACTGAGTAGGTGTCTTCCTTTCTCACCTGAAGATGGAAACAAATCCAGTTTCCAAAATGTCGTGTCCTCTATTACCTAGAATTCCTGATGATGGGAAAAGTCCAAAAACCCAGTAATTCTATACACAACTGAAGTTGGATGCCTGAGGAATGTGCTACATCTAAAGGTGATCTCAACTCTGGTTTCCGGCTGACCAAACCTGTGGTTCACCTAAGGTATTTCAATTTACAAGACTTATAAAAAATTTCTAATAAACTGAACATAAGATTGCCCCCTTGTTAAATAGAATCATACCCATTAATAACCTGGGGCACAACAAACTATAGTGCTACTTACCAGAGTTTGATGAATTTATTATGTCTATGTCTATTTATGTCTATTTAGGGTCTGCAATGAAAAAATTTATAATGACTGGTGTTTGTTGGTATTGGTCAAGTATAAACCCTATTATCAAGAAACTAAAAAATTGTGTACTTCACTGATTTTATTAGAAACAATGAAGTTTAAGGTGCTCTTTTCATAATGAAAGTATAGGTATCTCCTTGACCTACTTACAAGTACTGTTGAAAAACTTTATTTGTATGTTGAATATTTAATGAAAAAGGATTGAAGATACTGCCTGACACTTTGCATTGAGCAGTGATTCTCATTCTGCTGAAGCAAATGCTGTATACTGCTGCACATTTCAAGCTTTTAAATAATCAAACTAATCTATCTAATATTTAAAAACTCTGTTTCTACCTCAACAAAAACACAAGAAACTTCTGTACAACTATCAACTAATTAATATGGCAAGGGAAAATATCACTATTTATTCCAAAAATCATATCCAACCTACAGACACAATCTGTGGGTATAACAGACTGCTTCTCACAGTTAAATCATGCTGGTCTGTTACCCTGCCTTTCAAAGGAGTAAATACTCAGTGACTTTGATCATTTAAATGATGATTATTGAAACGATCACAATTAATGGTATTCAAGACTTATATACAATTAAGTTTTAAATACCTGATCTCTTGATTGATGATGTTACATTGCAACTAAGAGCTATTCATGGTGTAACTGAAATGTGTAGAAATACTCTGGGCACAAGTTCCACATACCAAAACAGGAACAAAATGTCCATGTGAATATGTAATTTAATTCTGTTTAAATCACTCAGTGGGGAGGTAGAGTCCAGCTGGGTCCACTCTGCACGGCGGCCACTGATTGGCCTATTGTAGCCTGCCCCAGGTGACAATGATGATAAGAATTTGGTTGAATGAAGATTGGTAGGGGAAACCTAAGTACTCAGAGAAAACCTGCCCCAGCACCACTCTGTCCACCACAAATCTCACTTGACCAGACCCGGATCGAACCCAGGCTGCCGTGGTGGGAAGCCAGCAACTAACTGCTTTAGCTATGGCGTGGCCTTGTGAATACATAGACAGAAACATTTAATTTGTGAGTTACAGCTGAAAGAATGCTGTGTATACATCAACAGCAGTTCAACATTGATGTGTGGACAGGGATCATTGGCAAATATTTGGCAGGCTCGTAAGTTTTGCCATGATGGCCTGCTTAGAAACGACGGAGGCACGTCTGGAAAGAGTTGACCTCAGTTGACAGGAGACCTGAGGTGGTACAAGGAGATTTCCATTGGAAAGACACGGAAATGGTGCTGGTCAGAGGACCGAAGAAGAGGCTTAGGGACCAACACCGCCAGAAGAAAAAGGAATGGGCCCAGAATCAGGATGGGTGCAGATAACGACTGGCTGTCGCCAGCAGAGAGGTAAGCCGCCGTGCAAAATTGGCATGGCAGATAAAGGAAAATGGCAGGAAGGTGTTCTGTTGTGTAGTGGCGGCATGACAAGGGAGAGACATCTTTTGGGAAAGACTGGCCATCGCCAGAAGAGGGGCAGCCCGCCATGCGAAAGTGGCATGGCACAAGGAAAACTCCCTCGGAAGGAACCACACTAGGGACAAAGAGGTGTTAGGACTCTCGAAAGGATGGATGCTCTGGAAGAGACAACAGGCGCAACAGGAATGTAACAGAGGAAGGATCAAGAACTACAGAAAGGTGATTGGACATGAGACCATGAAGCAAATTACCGAATCTCCTGTCCCATCACAAAACACCAAGATTTGGACCTTGTGGAGGGATCGACCCCCTCCAAAGGGAAAGATAAAATGAAAGAGCGCATAGAGGAACCAGTAACATAGAAGCACCG